TTTAACTTACTACTAACTAACTAAGTAAAGTAAAGTAACGTAAGTAGTAGAGTAGTACGTACGTACGTAACGTAACTAAACTAAACTAACTACTACTCTCTCTTCTTCTTCTTCTTCTCTCTCTCTCTCTCTCTCTCTCTCTCTCTCTCTCTCTCTCTCTCTCTCTCTTGTTTAACACACTTCAATTCTATTTTCATTTGAAAAGGTTCACAAATATGTTTATTGTACACATCCATACTTTATGGATAAGTTCCCAGATGTCCCATGTCTAAAAAGAAATTCTTGATGTTGTGGTGTCCAATACTCACATTGTGTAGGGAACCCAACCGATGCTCCATGTCATCGTAACATAAACAAATAAATGCATGGCCCCCATATCAAAAATGGGTATATCATCCAGTGATATCCACAAAACAGAATTATAGCTTATTGCTAGGAAATGGCAACTGTGGACCAACTTATAGAGTTGCATCCCCCATCTATATTTGAGAATGACATGCATATATGAATAGAATATATATTACTTCACAGCATATGGTTCATATTCTAAATAATATCCAGTGAATACATGAATTTGTGCATGTATAATATATAATATTTCACAATACGGACCAAATTTGGCCCTTGATGACAGGGCAGAACACACTCACCAACATAAAACTCCTACTGAAAACCACAACACAAAAAATATGTCCCACCAACAGTTGGAACCATCAAAGGCATGATAATTTATTTTACTGATAATCAAAGGCATGATCATTTACTTCCACAGGAGCCTTTTCAAGGGCCCTAACAAACTATTACGGCACAAAACGCACCTTATTTTCCTCCACATTACCATCACCTTCACCTTGCATTTTGTCAACACTAGATCCTGCCACTTCTTTATATATTCCATATGTCTAGCAAAATACAATACAAGCAAGGTCACAAACATGACTCTAATAAATGGAAATTGTGAAAAATGGTTAAAGCCATAATTCATACATAATTGCCTAGAAGACAGTCTCACCTTCAATTTCTTTGAACTTCCCTTATCCTTTTCCTCAGCATCTAAAGAGTTAAATGCTTTACGATTATGAGCAACCTGAGCATATTCAAGAGACTGCAGTAACTATGAGGTGAATGCCTCCATCTTGTGAATATTCAAGCATTTCATTCATCTATTTAACACTTAAACAACCCATACAAATATGCATTAGTGGTCCCTTCAAAAGTTCGTGTTTGGATATAGACGTAATATTACATTAGTTATATGTGAGACAACTGTAAAATGTTCACTATTATGTCCATTCGCATTCCAGTGAAACCCTCTTTTACTTTCGCATGGTTTTAGTACCCTCTTTTTTAAAAAAACTAATTATCCTCTTCTTCTATGAAATTGTTAATTGATGCATCCCTAAATCTAGAAGAAGGATTCTTGAAGGTTCTAAAGAAACCTATAACAAAATTAAATTATCCTAAGAAATTTCTAAGAAACTTCTCCAGAAATATCTAGCAATAAACTATTTTTTAATGAAGTATCTAGGAACCTTCTATAAAAATTTCTTTATAAATTTTTTAAAAATATCTTCCAAAATCAATGGCTCGCCTATAAATACCCATCCATTCCAGCAACTTAAAATTGAGAGATGTCTTGAGCCTCCTTTGAGAGTGAGTGACTTCTCTCTAAGTGGTGAGTGATTCCCACATGAGGTTGAGTGAATTACCTCCTTATTTCTTCCCTTCTTATCAAAAACAGTTGTATTCAGCTTTGTATTGAAATAGAAGAGTCAAGTTCCATTGTATTGTGCTCTATTTCTTAATCCTATTGCCTTAAAATACATCATTAATGGGGTATTGCATGCTTTTAGTCTTAACATAGAGTACCACATTATGCACTTAAATAAAGTATAGGTCCCTACTTTATGAGTGAAAAATACGCATCTATTGCAGACCAGTGGGAAAATAATCATTGTATTATTGCTTATGATCCTTCCATCATTATGGTTTGTTCACCGACAGTCTTGAATGCCCGAATGCAGCATGTACCTTTCGCAATGCTTCCTGATCAATGTGCTGAAACAACAAAAAGAACAAAAATAAATAAACAAACAGAGGGCATTGGTAACAAATTTTCGCCACAACATCGTGATGAAAGGATCGAATAACCAAATAAATTGAGAATAGAAAATGAAAAGACAAGCAATATTTCTCCAAGCACTTCCATACTCGCCCAAATGCTAAAAATTCAAGTGTAGGAACTTGGCCAAGAAATTTCTGGCAAGTAACAAAAATCTCCAAGAAAACATTAAAAATAAATAAATAAAACTGGAATACAAAATTTCAGGAGAGATACAAGGAGTTGGAAATAAGAGAAAAAAAGGATGATTGAGCTTCGTATTCATAACCAAAGAAAGCATTCAAAATAGTTTGATAAGAAGTATAACATACAAGAAACGCCGGGCTAATTGACGCTACCTTCAGTAAAGAGAAACCACTAATCTTCTCTCCAATAACCTCGTGCGATTCAGAAGGGAAACAGTCGATATGATGCCATTTCGTGACATCGAAATTACCAGGTCCTTTACTTACGATTCCGAGCCTCAAGCAATCCTTAGATATGGTAGCTCCACACTTTTTGCAGGAAGACCTTGCGGACTTTGCATACTCTGCAACTATCTTCGAAGCCATGGATGTCAAATTCAAAGCACCAGTCCAAGAAGGGCACCCTAATTTGAGGTGAACGCATGGAGCGATTAAGAAAGCCAGTTCTATTCCCAAATCCTTGAAATGAGACTGAACTATTATATTCCGTGCGCCAATTATTTTCCCGCTCCTTCCAAGGAGAAATAACTTGCAAAACCATCTTAGAAGGATGTTTGCATAAAACTGCAGCCTTAATTGATTATCTCAACATCGATGTATGGATATAGAAAATCAAGATTTCGAAGTCCCAAAACTAGTGTATTCGTATTATTTGGGTTGTTTATTTTCAAGATTTGTATATCTGTTTATAAATTTACTTGAACTATATTTAGAGTTTAAATTTTTATAATTAGAAATAGAAAAGATTATCCAACATCCTAATAAATTTTGACACCAAATATTTTATAATAAAATTTGGAGGTGCGTCCTCCTTTAACTGTTTAAGGGATGGTTTTTCAACTCCTTTTAGGAAAACAGGTACTTAAGGTTTTTATGGTCTGTAAATACCTTAAATTGGACTCCATAGAGATAGTGTCTCCAGATTTTCAGGTCAAATACTAGTGTCTCCAGATTTTCAGGGCAAATACAATAGCCACAAGCTCTAAATCATGGGTTAGGTAATTCTGTTCTACGGCTTTAATTGTCTGGAGGCATATGCAATGACCTTCCCTCGCTGTATAAGCACACATCCGAACCCTTTATAAGAGGCATCAGTGTAAAATGCAAAGTCCCCATTTCCTTTTGGTAAGGTCAGCATCGGAGCCGTAGTCAGTCTCTTCTTTAGCTCTTGAAAACTTTTCTATCGGTCATTTGACCATACAAAAAGCACATTCTTCTGGGTTAGACGAGTAAGAGGGAGCATTATTTTTCTAAAATCCTTCTACAAAGCGTCTATAATAACCTGCTAACCCCAGAAAACTATGAACCTCTGACACATTTGTTGGTCTTCCCCACTTGAGCACGGCTTCAATCATAAAAAGGTCAATCGCGACCCCATCTTTAGAAATAACGTGCCCAAGGAATGCCACACTAGGAAGCCCGAACTCACTCTTGCTCAACTTGGTATATAACATTTCTAATCTTAAAGCCTGAAAGATCACTCTCAGGTGCTGGTCATGCTCTTCAAAGCTTTTCAAATACACCAGAATATCATCAATAAAGACCACAACAAAATCATCTAAAAAGGGTCTGAAAATTCTATTCATCAGATCCATGAAAACAGTTGGGGCATTAGTTAATCCGAACGGCATTACTAAAAACTCATAGTGGCCATATCGGGTTCTAAATGAGGTCTTGGGAATATTCCCCTCCTTGACCCACAGTTGATGATAACCCAATCGGAGATCAATTTTAGAGAATAGAAGCTGGTCAAATAGGTCATTAATCTTAGGCAGGGGGTATTTGTTCTTCATTATTACTTGATTCAACTGTCTATAGTCTATGCAAAGCCTCATGGATCCATCCTTCTTCTTCACAAACAGAATCGGTGCACCCCAAGGTGCACACTGGGTCGGATGAATCCCTTTCTCAACAATTCCTGCAATTGCTCCTTCAGCTCCTTGAATTATGCTGGAGTCATCCTATAAGGGGCTTTAGAGATGGGAGACATGTCAAGAACCACATCGATCTCAAACTCTATATCTCTTACTAGAGGCAAGGAGACAATTCCTCGGGAAAGACCTCTTGGTATTCTCTTACCACTGGTATCTCTTCTAACTTGGATTGGACATCCCGATTCTCTACCACATAGGTTAAGTATCCAACACATCTTTTAGTCAAAAGATGGTAAGCCCAAAGGTGCCACAGTTCCGAAGGGCACTAGAAAACTTTTCCAAGTTGTCGTAGTTCTTGTCTCCTCCCAGGATTGCCTCACCGAACTCCACCAATGCTCAGCATCCCCTTCTAACATAAAGGTCCCCAGTCTCACTTTCTGCTCATCATAACAATGCAACACTTCGAAAGTCTTTTCTACTTGCCTCCTCCATTTTTCAGCCTTTTCCACTCCTCCGTATCCCAAGAATGCTGGAGGTGCAAGTCTTATAAACCTCTCAATTAAACCACTATTTGACTGGTGTGGGGAAGAAGCAGCTGGGCCCGGCATATTGTCCATCATTTGAGTCCTAGCCCCAAGCGTCTCGAAGAATGCCTCAAAGGCCTCTGTGTTCCCATTACTCGAGGTCAAGTTATTGACATGAGTCATCGTCATCTCAACCTATAACAGGAACACCCAATTACTAGCATATCCAAAACCACCCTAAGGATACTTCTAAGATTCTCTAGACCAAGAATCATATCCTGACTGCTCTGATACCATAAATTGTCACAGCCTCGGTTCCTGCCCCCTTGACGTACATGTCGGAGGGAACAGGGTGCGAGACCGCAACCAAAGGTAGCGAATGCCACTCAGGTGGGAGTGTGCTCAATGCTTTTGAAAACAATGAATCAAAGCAAACCATGAAAGAAAACAAAACTCCAAACACAACCATCAAAAGCTGGCCAAACTAAAATCAAAATATATACAAGAGCTCCAAATTATTACAAATATGTTTAAGACACTAGACGCCCAACAAAATTACATAACACTAAAACAAAACAACTATATCGCCAAATTGCCATCTAAAACCTACAATCAAACAGAAGCTTCCTTGTCAAGTTCGGAGCTCCAACTATCACCGCGATCACCCACCCATCCATCCTCAAATCGCGAGTTATCACTCTACAATAGAGAAAGTCAAAGGAATGAGCTATGAAGCTCAGTAAGTAGATCAAAGTGTCATGCATTCCTGCCTATACACAGTTATTCATAACCGTCCCCAAGATTTATGCAGGTTTTACAACATGGGGGTCATGCATCACAATTCTTTTTATTAGCAATGTATCGTGAGTAATTTCTTTCATGATGGAGCAAGCACAAATCAGATATCACATGAGCTAACAGTCTATCAAACCGTTATATTGAAATAATAGATCAATAATTCAAGGAAACATATAATAACTGCAGGCAATCCTAATATCACCTATTCCCGAAGTAGAAGCCTTATCAATCTGGTCAAGACAATCCCATTGTTTAGAACTTCTACCATTACTCAGGAGGGAAGACAATGACATATGGATGACTTGTTTCGTAATACCTTCACACACACACACAATTCCCAACGCGCTTTGAGGCTTTTGATATGTGGTGGCCTTGCAAGACACGACCATCATTTACTCTCTAACTGCAAGGTGTTACACCATTAATGGATGACCCATTGTGTAGTGCCACTTATACATATATTGGGGGGCACGATCCACCCATATGACTCGCACCCTAACTCCCTTTATTTCATCGAGAGTCAAACAAATATTTCAACTGCCGGCATAACTTTCGTATCATATCATATCACATTATACTATCAACGAATGACCCGTTGCATAGTGCCTCATATTACATTTGTGACATGTCTTATTACAATCATGCACATTCAATAATTCATAGGCATGTCTTATTATAATCATGCACATTCAATATTTCAAAGCATGTCTTATTACAACCATGCACATTCAATATTTCAAAGCATGTCTCATTACAACCATGCGCATTCAACATTTTAAAGCATGTTTCATTACAACCATGCACATTCAATAATTCATATGCAAGTCTTATTACAACCATGCACTTTCAATATTTCAAAGCATGTCTTATTACAACCATGCACATTCAATAATTCATGGTCATATCTTATTACAACCATGCATATTCAATATTTCAAAGCATGTCTTATTTTAACCATACATATTCAATAATTCATAGGCATTCACTATTTCATAGCAGAGCAAAAATTCTAGTGTGACAGTCTTACCAAAAAATGGGCATGACTTCCAATCTATAGGAAATTTCATCATGGTTCCAAAACTATTTTGAAAATAGACTCATTCATCTTTCCTTTAGAAGTGGTTTGGTCTCATTCTAAGACATTTTGGTTAGTAAACAATGCTACACAAAACATGTGATAGTTATGGAAAACATAGATGAAATTCCAGTGTGGTATCCTTGTAGAAAAACGCACATAATTTTCAAATCACAAAGAATTTGATCATGCTTCCAATACCATTTTCAAAATAGATTCATACATATTTCTTTTAGAAGTAGTTTTAACTCATTATGACATAATTTGGTCAATAAACCGTTCAATACAAAAACATGTAAAGTTTCTGGAAAATTTCTTGTTATCACTACAACGATATCTTTGTAGAGACAGGGGTATAATTTATAAACCACGGGGAATTTCGTTTTGATTTCAAGACCATGTTTAAAGTAGACTCATCATATTTCATTCAAAAGTAGTTTGAGTTCATTCTGATATGTTTTGGTTAATAAAAAATTTAATACAAAAACATGAAGAGTTTCTGGAATTTCTTTCACAATTCTGACATGTTCTGGCAAATGACTTATTACTTTCCAATAAAAAAAGATATTGATGTGGGGTCTTTTCCCTTTTAAAATAGAGTCAAAGGGTACTTCCCCACAAAATTTAATAATCAATAAAGGCAATTTTAGTGCTTAAACAATTACTCAAAGGAGAGTCACAATCCTGGAAAAACAGAGTGCATACTTAACAAAATTTAGAAGCATCTTTCCACAATCACATCCATATCCTTACTCAATTTTCATGCTTTAACAATTAAGTTTAACATGCATCAAACAAGGCATAAAACATGGGATCTTAAATCCACTTACATGCACCAAAGATTCCAAGTTTTTCCCCCAACAGGCTAAGCTTCCAAAATGGTTTCAAGCTTGAGGTTCTAAGTATTTTGAAAGGGAGGTCATGGGAGAGAGAGCGAGAGAGAGAGCAAAACTCTTGAGAGGGGTGTGAAGGGAGGTACTTATAAGCCAAGAGGGGGAGGCAACAGGCACGTGGCATACAAGGGGCACACAAGTGTCATATAGTGGCATACAAGTCGTATTCAGTGGCATACATGTGCCACATGACACTCATAGAAGTTTCTGAACGGCCCTATACATTCACTATCGCCCTATACATTCACTATCGCCAGCAATGCTCACGGTGGCATCGTGCTCGGCGGCAACGCACACAGCGGCTTCCTCATCGGCAGCAACGCTCACGACAGTAATGCGCATGGTGGCAACACGTACGACAACTTCCTCCTT